AGGCGACGAGGGCCCACCTTAACTTGGTGGCGGCCCCAGGCGCTGGAGCCTACTTGCAGGCGCCGCCGTGCCGGGCGCTCGGCACCGACTTTCCGCACAGCTTGATGCAAGTTGCGCTGCAGCGACGCCTTCGACACCAGCTGCTCGAAGAAGAGGCGTTTTGCCCGGCGTGCGGGGAGGTGATGGATGTGTTCGCAGACCACGCGCTCACCTGCAGCTGCCGCGGTGACCGCACGAAGCGCCACAACTGCCTCCGGAACCAAGCCTGGCACGAGGCACTGGCTGCTGGCCACGCTGGGGCAGAACTCGAGCGCCCGGGCTTGCTGCCGCCGCGCGCTCCTGGAGAGGGCCCCCCGGCTGGCGAGGCTGGCGGCGACGACCTGGACGGCGACGGGAGGCGCCCCGCGGACGTCTTCGTCCCGCGGTGGCGAGGCGGCACGCCGGCGGCGTGGGATTTCGCTGTGACCTCGGGCCTCCGCGCGGACTTACTCGCGGCTTCTGCCGCTGAGGGCGGCGGCGACGCAGCGGCGACCCGCTACGAGGAGCAGAAGCGCTTGCACTTGGACACGCAGCGCAAATGCTCAGAGGCCGGCCTGACGTTCATACCGATGGTCTGCGAGGCCCACGGCGGCGGTTGGGGCCGCGAGGCGCGACGCGCCTTCGCGGTGCTCGCAAAGCGCGCGGCCGACGCTACTGGAGACGACGCCGCGCTCGCGGCCGATCAGCTTGCCCAGCGGTTTTCGATTTCCCTGCACAGGGAAAATGCGCGGGCAGTGCTGCGGCGCCTCCAGCCGCGAGCGGGCGCGACGGCCGAGCGGTTAGCCGCGGCCAACGCAGCCGCCACGGCGGATGCTGTGTGAACCACCCCCTGCCCGCCCTCGCCGTCGACCCCGCCCGCTTTTCCCGACGCCCCGCCTGACCCCAAACGGCCAGCAACCGCCACGGCGACCACGACGATCCCTTGAACCACGACGACCCACGACGACCCACGACTTCCACCGACGTCACTCGCCCCCTCCGCCCGCCCCTGCTGCCTTGCTGCCTTTGCCGCCCTCCCTCTCCTCCTGCATGTTGGCGCCTGCTAGTTAGTTGTGTTATTCTTCCTCCTGCTCCTCCTTCTCCTCCTGCCGAGCGCTCGCCGGCGCTGGTGTGCAGGACTGGGGCGGGGCCAGCACTGTACCTACGGGAGGTGCCCCCAGTTGTTTTCCTCCGCATCTTAGCTCTTGTCCTCCTCCTCCTCCTCCTCCTCCTCCTCCTCCTCCTCCTCCTCCTCCTCCTCCTCCTCCTCCTCCTCCTCTCCTCCTCCTCCTCCTCCTCCTCCTCCTCCTCCTCCTCCTCCTCCTCCTCCTCCTCCTCCTCCTCCTCCTCCTCCTCCTCCTCCTCCTCCTCCTCCTCCTCCTCCTCCTCCTCCTTTGGACCTGCCCAGCCTAGGGCTGGCTTGGCAGATGTTGGTTTTCCATTTTCGCGTCGTGTGCTGGAGGGTGTCCCCGTCCGACTCGCGAGTTTGCTGCTCGAGCAGCTGGTTCGGCACAAGGTCGCACGCTCGAGACTTCCTAATCGGTTTTCTTGCCGGGGGCCCGGAGAGGGCGGGGTTCGGCCGCCTGGAGCTGCTTTGCCGCCTGGAGGAGGAGGGAGGAGGAGGAGGAGGAGAAGGAGGAGGAGGAGGGAGGAGGGGGTCCTCGCCTCCCCCCCCGCGCCCTGCACCCCCGAGGGGGGTGCCGGCACCGGGGGGGGGGGGCCGGCACCGGGGGGGGGGCCGGCACCGGGGGGGGGGGTGCCGGCACCGGCACCGGGGGGGGGGCACCGGGGGGGGGGGGGGCCGGGCGGGTGGGGGTGCCGGGGGGGGGGGGGCCGGCACCGGGGGGGGGTGCCGGCGCCGGGGGGGGGGGTGCCGGCACCGGGGGGGGTCGTTTCTGGGTGCGGCACCGGGGCTCTTCTGGGGGCTTTCTTGGGCCGGTGGGGAGTCCCGGGGCCCGGTTCGGTTCCACCCGGTTCGGGCTTGCCGTTCGGGCCGGTTTCGACCGGCCGGTTCGGTTCGAACCGCCCGGTCCGGTTTCAGCCGGTCCGGTTCGGGCTCCGGTTCGGGCGGTTCGGTTGCAGGAGCCGCCGGTTCACGGCTACCAGTTCGGTTCGGATTTGAAGGATTTGCCACGCAGCCGCGAAGTGCGCAGCTAAGCTGGAAATCCACTCCGACGCGGCCGTCCGCGAAGAGAAATAGGAAGCCGCACGTGCAGGTTGCGCCCTACACGCCGCTGCATTCCTGCGCGTGGACACCGCATCTTCACCATCAACGCTGGCGCCCCTTCCCGGCACTATCCCCTGCCATCTCTTGGGCCAGCAGCGCGAAGCTCTCAAGGCGGTGACAAGCAGCGCCTTCACGAGCGAGCTGACTGCCGCGATCTCAACGACGGATCATCGACCGGCGATCACCGCCACGCTCCACGAGGGCCAACGGGCCGCTCGGTCCATGCGCCGCACGGTACCTGCGAGACGGTCAGCAGGCTTCGGCCGCGCAGCTCGAGCGTTCATGGACCTCGCGGGCGCCGTCGTCGCCTCGGCGGTCACTGAGCCCAGGCCTCTGGCAGAGCAGTCACTGTTGCCGCATCTCCAGCGGCTCCGAGACCTCCTGTGCCCAGGCCAGTTGTCGGCCTTGAGATGGGAGGGCGCCCGCGACATGGTTGTGGACGAACTCACGAGAGGGCGCATCGACCACGCAGCACTCCGCTCTGTCTCCAGCGGGCACCGCAGGAGAGGCCACATCCCATGCACCGCCACCCTCAACGCCGCGGCCAAGCCCACCGCGCCATCCGGCAGCGAGCGCAAAGCCCGCCGAGGGGGGCAACCAGCAGTGACCAGCGCGGCCGCCGTGCTCCAGTCCAGCCTGGCGAAGCCAGGTCCCATGTCTTATCTCGTGCTGGCCAGTGTCGACGCGCTCGCTGCACGTGCGTCACGTTGTCTTAACTGGGAGAGGCGGTACGGCAGGCACTACATGGGCGCGGTGGCATCGCAGCGGGATGTGGAGAGGCATGAGCAGCAGTGCACGATGCGACGAGCGCGAACATGCACGCGCGCATACGTGCACGACACCCGCGGCCGTTTGCACGTTCAGCGCGCCGGCCGCTCGCGCGGCGCCAGGCGCCCGCGCGCGCCCCCGCGCCACCCTGCCATTCCGCGCTCGCGCCCGAGAGGGCGACGCGCGCGGCCATGCCGAAGGAGAAGGCAGCCGCGGCCAGGCGGCCAGCCACTCCGCCATCCCCCGAGGCGAGCAGCACCAGTCGCCTCCACGGCGCCGCAGTCGAGCGCCAGCCAAGGGCGCTCAGGCCAGGCCTGGCATCATGGTTCGATCACCAGGGACGCCCCCCACGACAGCGCCGCCACCTGCAACCGAGCCGAAACCTCGCGCTCCACCGCCGCCACGGCCACCCACGCCGCGCAGGAGGCCCCCGCCCCAGCAGGGACCAGGCCTTGCCGAGGAGCTTCGCCACCGCAGTCGCGAGGACGACAGGGGTTTCCCTGCGCGCCGCCAGCAGCGCAGCCACGCTCGCGACGGGGCGGCAGCCACGCGCGGACACGGCAGCGCCCCTCGCACTCAGGCATCGCCCCAGCCTTCGCCGTCGCCACGACCGACGCGCCCACGAATCGTCGCGACCAGCAAGTCGAGAGCGTCAGCGCCGTAGATGGTCGAGGAGCCGCACGCGCATTCGGAGGCGAACAGGAAGGCGGCGGAGGACATGGCGGACGAGATCGCGGCGAGGCCCCCCTCGCCCGGCGAGTCGCGCCGCGTCGACCGCGCCCGCGCACCGAGCACTGCGCGCCCTAGCCCCTCCCCGAGGACATCGCCAGGCCCACGCTGACTTCGGGGGGCCGCTCGAGTCCGGAGCGGCGGCGCGCAGCGCTCGGACACGAGGCGCGCGCGATGAGCGACCAGTACCGCATCCAACCCGACGCGTTGCCCACGGTCGAGGGAAAGCCAGCGCCGCTGCCCGCGATGTCAGCGGCCCGGCGGCCTGGCGGCGCACTGGACCCACGCGGTCACTGGGGAGAGCCGCCCTGCGCGCCGCCGCCACAGGCGGCTCGTGGCTGGGCCATCCTGGCCCAGCACCTCGAAGGACCCGATGCTGGCCTTCGACGCCCAGGCCGCTGGGCACCGCCCTCGGCTTCGCTCTCGCTCGCCCGACCCGGAGCGCAGGCCATCCACGCCGGAGCCAGTGGTCAAGCCACCTCTGCCCCCTGGACCGCCGCCACCAGGGCATGGCGAACCAGCGCCTGGTTTCGAGGGCGCTGACGCGCGCCCGCTCTGGCCTACCACGGGACCCCAGGCACCCGTCGGCAGCCGCGGCTGACATGGAGACGCGGAGGGCGAGGACATGGACTGAGCGGCGAGGCGAGGCGCAGGACATCATCTTCTGCGCCCCGTCCAGGAAAACCCCCACACTCTTTCCCCGCTCCAGCCTACCAGTCCAAGGTCTCGTCGCCTCCTTGCACCATCATCCTCGCGGGTCGCATGTCACACCACGTCGAGTTTTGTTTTGTCTTTCGGCCCCTTCGACCGCGACGCACGTTCCTCACGCATACAGTGACAAGGCGCAGGGCAGTCTGCCCCCCACCTTCTCATGCGAGCTTCCCTGCGCCGTTCCATAGAGCAACAGCGTGCGCACTGAGTATAGTCGGTGAGCACGCACTCCGCCGCGCCCGGCGCGCGCCCCCCAGGTGTCAGCCTGGTATTCTGTATGGATTGGGAAGGTGCGCGGGGGTTGGACAGTTCTGGCATTCCTTTGTCTCGGATCTTCTGGTCCCGCCAGAGCTATTCGATCGCCGGCGCAATCCCGACTCCAATAGTACGCCTCGCGGCTATACGTGCTCGCAGATCCGGAGCGCACGCATTTGATATGGTATGAGAAGGCCTGTGGTTGACGCTGACTTCTCTTTGCCGCCAACCAATCCCCGCAATTCGAGTTCCTCCTCTTATACATTTCTCCTACTTCTCTTTCCCTCTGCGAGGACTTCATCGTCCTCCACACCACCGAGGGGGAGAGAATAGGCTCGTTCGGAAGCAAAGGGCCCCACTGGCTGCTGTCGGACAGGCCCCGGTGGTGCGCCGAACCGTTCGGGGACGACGGCCGCGGCGCGGAGGAGGACGATGGTCGCCTGGGCTTCGACCGAAGGAGGAGGAAGAGGAGGAGGAGAAGGATGAGGAGGAAGAATTCGGGAATTCGGGGCCCAGACGACGTGCGAAAAGAAGCTAACCAATGCCGAGTAAAGCATCCAGTCGAAGACGCCGAGAGAAACGATCTAAACATTCCCGCCTGGCCCTATTGCGCAAAAGCGAGCCACGGGCGTCGGCGAGCTTCCGAATGTCAAGATCGCCCAATGACAGGGCCCGCATGCGTGACCGCGTAGATTTTGGCACACCCCTTATACGCTTCGTGGCACCATGGCGAGCCCCACACTAGGTCCCAATGGCAGGGCAGGGCCCGCATGCGTGACCGCGCTGATTTCGGCACACCCATCACACGCTTCGCAGCCCCATAGGCAACTCCACCGAAGGCCCCAGCGGCAGGGCCCGCATGCATGACCGCACCAGTGTCGGCATACCGTTCACGCGCTTCGTGGCCGCATAGGAAATTGCACAGGAGGCCCCACGAGCAGGGCCCGCAGGCGTGACCGCGCCCATATTGGCACACCCTTCACACAATTCGTGGCCCCACATGGAGCTCAACCAAAGGGCCAAAGGGCAGGGCCCGCATGCGTGACCGCGCACAGTTCGGCACACCACTCAAGCGTTTCGCGACCCTACAGGAAACCCCACCAGAGGCCCCAATGGCAGCGCCCGCATGCGGGACCGCACCAATTGCGGCACACCCCTCACACGCTTCGTGGCCCCATAGGGAGCTCCATCCAAGGCCCCAATTGGCAGGGCCCGCAGGCGTGACCGCACCTATGTCGGCACACCCGTCACACGTTTCGTGGCCCCATTGGGAGCTCTACCGAAGGCCCCAGTGGCAGGGTTCGGATGGCGCCGCCACGCCAGGATATGCGCGCCAGTGCGTAATGTTGCTCGCCCCCTCCTTCTCACTCGCGGTATTCGCAGTTTCGTATGATCGGGCCTTTCGCCAAGACGATTGTCCAGCCATCCTGTGTTGTCGGGTCCTTGTTCTGAAGTGAAAGGGCCCGCGTCTCTCCTATTATCCTCCCCCTCTCCTCCCTTCTTTCCATCCCTGCCTCTCACACGTGTCGTGGCCCCACAGGGAGCTCCACCGAAGCCCTCAGGGAGGAGCGGGTCGCATGCGGTTCCCCAATCAATTTCGGCACACCCCTCACACCTTTGGTGGCCCCACAAGGAGCTCTACCGAAGCCCCCGGGGTGGGCGCGTGCGGTTTCCTTTTCCCAGAAAGGGCTCCTGCCCAGGGTGTTTTTTCCCGGAAAGGGCGCAGGCCCAGGGTTCTCTTTTAGTATGTAAACATATCCCCCCGTGCCCAACTTGAAGGAGGCCGGCGGATTCTTTCCCTGATAAATATCGAAGTCGAAGGAGGCCGGCGGATTCAAATTTGAGGATGTCTCAGGCGAAACGCTTGTTTTTGAAATCCCGATCGATAAATCACAGGGTGCGGGCCACCTCAGCACGACCACATCCCAGCACGACCACACCCCAGCACGACCACGCCCCAGCACGACCACGCCCCAGCACGACCACACCCCAGCACGACCACACCCCAGCACGACCACACCCCAGCACGACCACACCCCCCCAGCACGACCACACCCCAGCACGACCCGATCGATAAATCACAGGGTGCGGACCACCCCAGCACGACCACACCCCAGCACGACCCCACCCCAGCACGACCCCACCCCAGCACGACCACGCCCCAGCACGACCACACCCCAGCACGACCACACCCCAGCACGACCACACCCCAGCACGAGCACGACCCCCCCAGCACGACCACACCCCAGCACGACCACACCCCAGCACGACCACACCCCAGCACGACCACACCCCAGCACGACCACACCCCAGCACGACCACACCCCAGCACGACCACACCCCAGCACGACCACCACAGCACGACCACACCCCAGCACGACCACGCCCCAGCACGACCACGCCCCAGCACGACCACGCCCCAGCACGACCACCCCCCAGCACGACCACCCCCCTAGCACGACCACCCCCCAGCACGACCACCCCCCAGCACGACCACACCCCAGCACGACCACACCCCAACACGACCATACTCCAGCACGACCACACCCCAGCACGACCACACCCAGTCGCACCCCCGTGGAATGTTTCGTGGGGTGTCTGGTTGAGTGGTTGCCTGTTCGTGGGGTGTCTCGTGGAATGTTTCACGGGGTGTCTCGTGGAATGTTTCGTGAGGTGTCTCGTGGGTTGTTTCGTGAGGTGTCTCCTGGGATGTTTCGCGGGGTGTCTCGTGGGATGTTTCGTGAGGTGTCGCCCAGTTGGATATCGTGAAAACGTGACCATGCTGCACATGTCTATATCCCTTTCCGGGTTCGTGGATCCATCATGTTTCCCGGAAAGGGCTCGAGCCCAGGGTTCTCTTTTAGTTGGTTTACCCCCGGTTTCGACGGCTGTAGGGCCGGCGAAATTATTCTGCGATAAATAACGAGGTCGCGTAGGGCCGGCGAGTTATTTTTTGAGGATGTCTCGAGCGAAACGTTTGTTTTTCAGAATTTGTTGAGGATGTCTCAAGCAAAACGCTTGTTTTGTGTTATAGAGTGTCCTCTCCTGGGGACCTGAATTCTGAGGATTTCTCAAGTGGATTGCTTGTTTTCACGTGCCCAGGTCTTGAGGATGTCTCGAGCGAGACGCCAGGTTTCACGCCTCCAGGTGGCCCAGGCAGATGTCTAGCATGAGGATTTGTTGAGGATGTCTCGAACCAGAGGCTTGTTTTCACGTGTCCAGGTCGCCCAGGCGGATGTCTAGCATGAGCATTTGTTGAGGATGTCTCGAGCGAGACGCTTGTTTGCACGTGTCCAGGTTGCCCAGGCGGATGTCTAGCATGAGGATGTGCTGACAACGTCTTGAGCGAAACGCGTGTTTTCACGTGTCCAGGTCGCCCAGGCACAGCACAGCCCTCGGCACGGTACATCAATATCGATACCCTGAGCATTGCAGCCTGGCATGTTGCCTGGCACGTTCCGCGGAGCGTCCCGTGGCGAGTCCACCTGGCACGTCGCGCGGTGCACGTCCATTGGCACGTTCCGTAGCGCGTCCCCTTGGCACGTCCCGCGGTGCGTGCCCATGGCACGTCCCCTGGCACGTCGCCTGGCGCGTCCCTTGGGACGTTCCGCGGCGCGTCCTCTTGGCATGTTCCCTCTGTCGATTAGTTCTGGGGCAGCTACCATCTGCTCAGGCAGCTCGAGCTTACGATCCAGATCAGTTCGGTGAGGACTCGGATGCCAGGGACGACTCGATCCACAACGCTATACAGAGCACAATCGCGGCATGGCACATCGCAGTTCAGCACGGCCCAGTACAGCACAGCCGTCGGCACGGTACATCAAGATCGATACACTCAACTATGCACCTTGGCACGTTCCTTGGCGCGTTCCTTGGCGAGTCCACCTGGCACGTCGCGCGGAGCGTCCCCTGGCACGTCCCTCGGCACGTCCACTGGCACGTTCCGTAGCGCGTCCCCTTGGCACGTCCCGCGGTGCGTGCCCATGGCACGTCCCTTGGCACGTCGCCTGGCGCGTCCCTTGGGACGTTCCGCGGCGCGTCCTCCTGGCATGTTCCCTCTGTCGATTAGTTCTGGGGCAGCTACCATCTGCTCAGGCAGCTCGAGCTTACGCTCCAGATCAGTTTGGTGAGGACTCCGATGCCAGGGAGGACTCGATCCCCAACGCTATATAGAGCACAATCGCGGCATGGCACATCGCAGTTCAGCACGGCGTAGCACAGCACAGCCCTCGGCACAGTACATCATCATCGATACATTCAGCATTGCATGTGCCCGTCGCCCAATCAGGTGTCTTTGAAATGTTGCAATGCCTTACATGTCTACATTCCTTTCCGGGTTCGTGGGTCGATCATGTTAGAGGCTTTACCCACGGGGACGATTTGAGACGGGCCAGCTAAGTTATTTGTTGTTATTTCCTGTGATAATTAACGAGGTCGAGATTTGAGGATGTCCCCAGCGAAACGCTGGTTCTTTGAAATTCTGATCGATAGAACATCGAGTAAAGTCAGCATTTCCGTTTGATGCGGATGTCTCAGACGAAACGCTTGTTTTGCATAATTTGTTGAGGATGTCTCGAGCGGAACGCTAGTTTGGGAAATTTCCAAGAACCTGGACGCCCACGAATGCCCCAGGAGCTCCTGGGAGAGCGGACGCAGCTAATTTACCAGGGATCGTGGCCCAGGGGGCGCGGACGCAGTGTAATTTACAATAGATCGTGGCCCAGGGAGCGTGGACACATTGTAATTTACCAGTGAACGTGGCCCTGGCAGCGCGGACATATTGTAATTCTCAAAGGAGCGCGGCCCTGGGAGCGCGGAAGCAGTATAGTTGTGGTCAAGGGAGAGCGGGCGCAGCGTAATTTACAAAGGATCGTGGCCCTGAGAGCGCGGACGCAGCGTAATTTACTAGGGAACTGGGCCCTGGCAGCGCGGACACAGCGTAACTCACAAGGGAGCGCGGCCCTGGGAGCGCGGACGCAGTGTAGTTTACAAGGGAACGTGGCCCAGGGAGAGCGGACGCAGCGTAGTTTACGAGGGATTGTGGCCCAGGGAGCGCGGGCGCAGCGTAATTTAGGAGTGATCGTGGTCCTGGGAGCGTTGACGCAAGTGTAATTTTCGATGGATCGTGGCCTTGGGAGCGCGGACGCATCGCAATGTAAGATGGATCGTGACCCTGGGGGCCGGACACAGCGTAATTTATTAAGGATCGCGGCCCCGAGAGCGCGGACACAGCTTAGTTTACCAGGGATCGTGGCCCAGTGATAGCGGACGCAGCGTAGTTTACAATGGATCGTGGCCCTGGGAGCGCGGACGCAGCATAGTTTACGAGGGATCGTGGCCCAGAGAGCGGACGCAGAGCAATTTTCGATGGACCGTGGCCCGGAGGGTGCGGACACAGCGTAATTTACCAGGGATCGCGGCTTTGGGAGCGCGGA